GGTTATGACAAGTTGAGGTGACCCGGCCTACTTGGTTAAGGCCCATTCTCGGCCACGGTCCCTGGGCTACCCGGGTACGGGTCAAGCCGGCTAAGGGACTGATCGTTGGGCCGAGCCCATCAGTCGACCTAAATAGTTCTGGGCAAGTACAGGACCCGGCTCCAGCCGAGTCAATCAGTCGACACGAAGTCGACACCGACCTCAACCCGTAATAAAAAAATGAAAATACAGTCGACCAGAGAGTAGTTTGGCGATAGCGGCATATAGTCTACTTTCCAGGAAGACCGAGAAAGAAACAAGATGAAATGATTTATTGATTGCAGATAGATAAAAGCCTACATCTCGGCCAAGCTACAAGTTAAAAAGAAAGCAGGGAAAGGGAGCTCAGGGATTAGACTTCTCTTCTGCCGGACGAGCCGGAGGTGGACCCTCTAGGAACAGCTGAGGGCGGAAAGGAGGCAGAGTCGGATCTGGTTCCAGCACGTCGTCCAGGTAGACTGCCGGCTTCCTGTCGTCAATCATTTGAAGGGGCCTCTCAAGAGCACTGGGAGACATGGCCACCCCGAAGAGAGTAGGAACCTCCCACACTTCTTCCTCGTCCAGCGCCGGTTCCTCTACAATTGGCTCCACTCGTCGGCCGGTTGAGTCTACTGGAATCACATCCAGCATATCTGGGGGAACGACAATGGGATCTGAATTGGAGTCGCCCACCAAGTGGCCACCGTTGGCCAGCATTTGTTGCCTCAGGTTCTCCAGTCGAGCCTGCTCCTTCTGGCGGATAGAGAAACGCCGATCGCCGATTCGATAACTCATGGCGAGAAAAGTGAGACGAGGAATTTCTAGAACAAAAAGATGATAGGGAAGACGAATGAGAAAGTGCCATTTTTATAGCCCAACAGGGGCGAATATCAAGGCGTAAATCACGGAAGGGAATCTTAATTGCCATCCTCGGGCAGGGTGAGATAAGGTGCAGGAATCTATGTCAGGGAATGATCCCATCAAATCCGCTCGGGAAGAGCAAGATTCACATTTGACTGGAAAAGTCAAATCTTCCAAGGATACCGGAAGATTGCGATTGTCAGATCTCGAGATAAGATATGGCCGACTCGAAGACCGGCCGACTAGTAAACCTAACCGAAATAAAGCAAAGAAAGATGGTCGGCAAGCAAAAACCACATCTCTTTTATTCATGGGAAAAGCAATACGTCACGGGGAATGAACTTTATTACACGCAGACAACTATATATATAATGTTCCTCTCACAGCTCTCCACTAGGCTTTACTCAGCGCCACGCCCTGCCACTGACAGACCTTGGATGGCATAATCACTCGTCTGGAGAAGAAGACTCATCTCGGAAGAACGTCTCCTCTGATGGTCCGGTAGTAGATGGACAAAATGAGTCCCAAAAGGCCAGCATAAGGGGTAGGACGACGGGCGCCTCGTCATCCGGGTACAGCTCCAGGTAGCGAGCGAAGTCGGCATCAGTCATCAAGTCGGTCGCCGGCCCATCCAGGTCGTCAAGAGGAATAGTGAAAGTCATTTTAAAAGCAAGCTGCTCTGGAACCGCCACCTCAACAAAGGATCCGTCTTGGGCAATGACTTGAGCACTAGTCTGAGACGGGGGGTCGGCCAGGGATGGAGAGTTTGTCACAAGGAGCGGAGCCTCAGTCGACGGTCGAGAAACGGAGGAGGTAGCACCCGAGTCATGCCTTCGGGAAGAAGGACAAGGAGCCTTCTTCTTGCCCCTTTCTCCAGTCTAGACCGCTTGGAGTGGGAGGGGTGAGACGGCGATCCGAAGTCAATCTTTTTCCCTTTTATGGGGGAGCGACCCATGATTGATCAAAAGCGGTGAGGAAAAATTCAAGGATCAGGGCGCTATTTATAAGGTCTCAGGTAGGAAGGAAAGAATCTAAACGGACCCGGCGAATTAAGCAAATCGCGTGGAATCCGGGCGTTACTCGACCGTTAAGGGTAGGAGATTGAGAGGGATCTACGAGATAAGGGAGTAAATACTGCTACTTTCTGATATCCAAATTAGAGGACTGGATATTGGAAAGTGAGGGACTAGTTGATGGGGTGTGGACCCTGGCCCAAAAAGAATAAGATGCGGCCCAAAGGAAAAGGGGCGGAAGCCCAGAAAGTAATAAAACCCGAAAGATGATTCGACCGAGTCGAGGAGTCGAGCCGACTCCAAGGTCGGGACGAGGACTTGGCGAAAGTGACAAGGAGCCGTTAAAGGGCATTTAAAGAAGCATTGAAGAAGCCGGTCAAAGAGCCGTTGGGAGGCCCAGTAACGGCAGCCTAACGGCCCTCCGATGTAATTAGCCATCAAAGCCCAATTCAATGTACTTAAAGCCCGAATTAAAGGAGGGCCTACTATATAAAGGCCCCTCCAAGATGGAAAAGAGGCGAGTCCATGCCCAGAGAATAGAGAGACACGTTTACTAAAATTATCCATTCCCTTCTATTTTAGATAGCTTTATTGAAAGGTGTATCCACCAACCACGGTTGTGTTGGACCTCCCTGGGCCCAAAAACCCTAAAACCAACACTTAGCATCTTTCCTACTTATATTATATTCACTAAAATACCCAAATTGTATAATATTGACCCATGCATATTATATGTATTAAAATAGCCTATATGTCTCATGAAATAACCCATTTACATATATATCTTCAACCTAATACATATACTATAGTGTATCTAATATTTTGTCCTAGCTATTCCTACATAAAATATCTAGACTTTGTTTTCATCCCCATTCCACTCCCACTCTTCTCTCAAGCCATCTTCATCCTCCCCATAACAATAGAAAATTGCCTTCATCTTCTACAAGGAAAATTCCATCAAGATTCCTCCTTTATACATCTTCACTACAAAACTAAGTAAGATCATCTTCTATCTTGCATTTTCCCTTCATATTTCATGTTCTTTATTGCATGTTCTTATTTTTCCTACATTGGGGTTTTGGGGTTTTAGAAGACCAAGTTGAAGAGGAAATGCTAGGGTAATCTTGCTTTGGGCTAGAGTTGGTTTGCTAGCTTAAAAGGTAAACTCCATGTCCATCAAAATCTATTTCCAAACTTATATAGGTGTTCTTGATGTTATTGGAAATCCCTGAGTATATTCTTGATGTTATTTCTTGATATGAGCCTTGTTCTTGAGTGTTCCTTGCGTTAATATTGAGCTATGATGTCTATCCTTGATTCCTTATGCTTTTGTTGGTATTCTAGTGTTGTTGGAATATATTTCTTGATGTCTTTTGGCCTCTGTGTTGTTGAATGTGGAGTACTGTTGCATTGAGTATTGCTTTCTGATGAGCTACTGTCTATACGCCATTTTTGGCCTTGCGGGTGTGTGTCACAGGTGGTTGGCCCCCGTGAGACAGCCCCACAAGGTGTGTCGCAAGGGTGAGTGGCGGGGAGTTCATGCCCGCCACCCATACCCCTCTTGATGCAGGGAGACACGGCGGGCCTCCTGACCCCGTGAAATCGACCTGTTAGGTCCTGTGCATTTCCAAAATGCAATTATTTGATTTCCCGTGCATTGTTGATTAGCCTTTAGTGCAACATTGAGTTATTCTAGTACATTGTGTATCCTTTGGCCTCAATTAATGATTGTCATTCTATCTTGAATAGTCCCTTGATATCAATTTGGCTTGTGTGTTACTGGTTATATATATATATATATATATATATATATATATATATATATATATATATATATATATATATATATATATATATATATATATATATATATATATATATATATATATATATAGACACAGACACACACACTCACTCACTTCTTTGAATATATTGTATTATTGAGCTTCGGCTATTTGGATTGTTGGAATTGGAGAGCTTCAGCTTCATTGGTGGAATTGGATAGCTTTGGCTCCATTTGGATTGGTAGAAGATAGCTTCGACTCCATTTGGATTGGTGGAAGAGAGCTTCGGCTCCGCTTTTGGTGGATAAGGTTGGATATTGTATTATTATATTGAATTTGGATATTCATATATGTATTCCTTGGCTATGTATATATACCACTGTATCTTGTTGATATGAGAACTCTTGGAATTCTAACTTGTTTATGCTTTGGTATTGATCTCTTGAATCTAAGTTGATATGAGCATGTTTCCCCTGTTTTTCTTGAAATGAGTCTAGTGCGCCTAGAATTGATTATTCTTGATTGAGTATCTATCTTTTGAAATCCTTCCACTGAGTTCGTTGGTATGACATATATATGTAGTCATACCATTGCAAAACCTATTTTGATATAAAAGTATATGTACGTAGTTTTACGCGTTGGAGTGGATTTACTTAGTACTAGTAGTTGCACCCTTGCGATGCACGGACATATTATATAGTAGTAAAATGAACATTTGTGATAAAACAGAAAGTACAATATTATAAAAAATAAATTTATAAAAAACAGATAAAATTACAAATGTATTACACATTATTGAAGATTTCTTTGTATACGACATTTTTAGTCATACTTAAAGATAGTACATTATCTCCACATATTAGAATTTTTAATCCCCGAGGATTACTAACACTTGAGACTGCTACATACATTTTACCATGATTAAAGACCGCTTTCTCAAAAACAATCCCACGTGTGATAATGTTTGTTCTTGATTTTTATTTATTGTCATGGCATACGATAACATCAAAGGGAATTGCTTTCGTTGGAACTTAAAAGGCAATCTCATATCCGAAGGTGTTAACGACATTCGAGGAATTAAAACCTTTGTTCCTACATGCGTTCCGCACATGATTTTAGCTTCCAAAACATGATCAGCTAACCTGGTGACAATAAGCCTTGTGCCATTACAAAGTCACAATGAGTGATCAATATTCCTCAATAGCATGATAGGTGACCCAACTTTTATAGTCAAAGAATGATTCGGTACTCCAAAACAACGCAATCCATTCAAGAACTCGAGCATGTGCAAATCAGACAACATGTCTCCAGCTGAATCAGATTTTCAGGCTGAATCACAACTCAAATACGTCCTACCCTCTGCATTACTCATCTCATTCATATACTCGTTGATGTTATCTACCAAATCAACAGTTGGGGCTAATATAGCACGATTTTGAAGATAGTCAAGATTACTACGACCACTGCGAAACATAGGGAAAGTGCTGTCAACAATTGTAGCAATAGGATCAGTTGTCGATTGCAATAAGAATTCCTCAGGAATAGAGATATCATCCTCACCGTCAGTTGAATCACTAATTACCCCATCTCCAATATTCGCAATCCACTTTGTGAACTTTTCAATCTCTTCAACTTCATCCTTAGATTGGATTGCTCTAAGACGGAGATTTTTTGTGAGCCTAAACACTTTACAACTTTGCCACAAATATGAAGAATTAATACTTGCCCCAACAATATCATGTCTGGTCCCCTTAGGAATTACTGGTAATATCTGCCTAAAATCACCACCTAACACCACTGTTTTACCTCCAAAAGTCATGTCACTACTATTCGGATTCTTCAATCTTAGTAGATCTCTCATTGTCCGATCAAGAGCCTCAAAACGATATTTGTGCATCATTGGAGCTTCGTCCCATATAATCAACTTGCATTGAACAATCAGCTCTGGCAAAGGACTACTTGGCGCAATGTTGCAAGTAGAGTCTTCGTTAATAGAAATAGGTATTGCTAACCTAGAATGCGCAGTCCGTCCTCCGGGCAACAAAAGTGATGCTATCGCGCTAGATGCAACATTGAGAACGATCTCCCCATTGGACCTTAAAGCGGAGGACAATGCTCTCCATAGAAAGGTCTTACCTGTTCCACCATATCCATATACGAAGAACAAACCGCCTGCGTTGGTGTGAACATATGATAATACTTCTTTATATATTGTTTTTTTGTTCATCAGTTAGTTGGCGGACCAAAATTTCATTCTCTTCCTTAAGAGCTGCGCAATCATAAGATAATTCCTCTTATACAAACCTATTGGTTGGTAAATTGAAATTTTCTTCATCAACGCACGGCATATTTGGAAATTCAACCAAACTCTTTCCAAATCTTGATAACATCAATTGTATTTCCATTAATGCATAATTCTTTCTATGATCTTCCGTCAAGATCATATCTATAGTTTGCATATTAAAAAAGGATTTAACACTCTAAATATTAACAATTGGTTTATAATGAAACGCATATTAAAGAACCAAATTCGAATGTAGCCTAAAATACCTGCTTTTTGTAAGTTCTGTCGAAGATTGAATTGTGCATCCTCTGCCAAATATTGCCATACAATCTCCCAAACAACCTCTGGTCTGACAATTGCGTTCGACATTAATAGCGTTACAAACAGCCTCCTCAAAGAAGTGGCAGTAGCCCATTGACTCGCTTCTTGTATTGCGTCCACATTTTCTTTGTCATCCTCTACTAAACCTCTAGCATAATAGGCATCTCTAAAGCTTTCGTGCTGCACACCATCAACTATCTTGATATCTAAATACGATGTTGGTCCACGGACTTTGTTTAGTAGACATCTAAGATAGTAAATTTCTCCCGTCCCAGGTGGAACATAGAAAATACGGCCAATTGTAAATCCTCTTTTCCTTGGACTCCATTTTCTGATATCTTTTTTCCAAACAAACTTCATTGGCATTTCGGCATAAGTCAACAATCTTGCTTCTAGAAAGGATTTATTCGCTTCAAACCATTCTAGGAACATACTCTATGCAATAGTAGGTCGGTTTACAATATTCTCAACTGGATCATCATCTTCAAAAATATCAATATGTTGGTTTGGCAAGTGGAAGCTTAACCGTTCAACCGATGGTGATCTTAATTGAATATCAAATCCAATTAATCGCCATGCACCTTCACAGGGAGATATGTATCTACAGTCATAGTACATATTTATTTCATCAACAACTTTACCACCAACATCATCCTGATGGGTTTTGTAGAACTGAGCTGCAACACGATCATGACCCTTATTCACATATTTAAACAGGTACTTAATAGAACGGGATTGATTACACCACTCAACATTAATATGAGCTCTATACTTTAACAACAATTCTCTATTGTGTGGCACCACATACCTGTTATCCAAAGGGATCCCACTCTTAACAACTATACGTCCATTATCCCGACGTCTATAAATTGGGTATCCATCTTCATCAAATGTTGTAGCGTCCACAAATCTTTTGGGGAAATGTTTAGTGCACATATTACCAGATATACATGGCGAATTCTGTCTGGCTCTTCCGCAGGGACCATGAATCATAAATTCTTCTACTGCATTGTAGTACTCGACGTCGCTTCCTTTTCAGGGATTTTCGCAGATATTATACTATCCAGATCTAAACCAACGATGAACCCTTTTGTTTCCTCTAAAAATAGCATAATATGAGCATGTGGTAGACCTCTCTTTTGAAACTCAATAGTATATATAACTGTAGATAATGAATGAAACAACAAAATATTAGAAAGGAAAATAAAACAATTTAAAAAATTGTTCAAAAAATGAATCAATTGAATGAAGATTACCTCCAGCTACAGCACCAAAGAATTGATTCTTTCGACAATCAGATATCAAAGAATCCAACTTCATCTTGAAAAGTCTACACACTATATCCGGACGATCTTCAGCTCTTAAACGTTTATCACAAAGAAAGCGTTGAATCTCTGGCCATTTAGGGTTACACGTAAACGTAATAAATAGATCGGGATATCCAATCCATCTACAAATAGCCATAGCATCCTAGTAATTCTGTATCATATACCTAGCACCGTCGGTAAAACTGGACGACAAAATGATCCTACGACCTTGTGTATTTGGGTCAACCTCACCACGGGTCAACGCATCTGACAAACAGTTATAGGTTTCACACCTTAAGTGCTTTTGGTGAGTCCTAATATATATTAATCTGCCAGACCAAACCATGGTATAACTATCCACCAAGAACTGCTGAAATAACCGTTTTGCATTCAAGAAGGTTGAGACTTCGGAAACCCTTGTTTGAATACGGAAACAGAAATATTCTCTAGGACTAATCCTTTGCCTACCAGCATTGCCGTTTCCTTTCAAAGAAGTGAAATGTATGTCTTCCCTATAACCGTCCTCACCGTATGGAAATAACAGGGGGTATTGTAAAGGTAGGTATGCTCGATTTAATTCACTGATTCTTTTCAAAAATCCACTATTAGTTTCTACCAAAATGTCACGCTCTCCAATGCTGGTATCAAGATCTCCAACAATTAAAGCAGCAACTTCTGAAACTTGCGGTAGATTGTATATCCTTGGTAGAGTATTCCGCTTACCAAGCAATTTTATTTTAACCTTTGCTCGTGGGTTCTTTTGCAACTCATCCTTCGCCATACGGAATGATTTAACTAACACATTGTGTTTATCCAGCTCAGTTTGAATATCCTTAACAATTTCAGTATCAATGTCATTATTCTCACCATCCGGCCTACAATTTAACAATAAAAAAACTAACTTCAAAAAGATAAGAGGTAATAACAGTTTTATACAAAGGATATAAAAGTATAATACCTCACAGCATTAACACGATTGTCTATCTCATTCTGAGTGTCATATATGTACAATTGAGCAAAATGCGGAGCTTTGCCTTCAGTTGGAAGTAGACTACCCATCAAGTGAAAGTTTTGACCATTCAAATGGAAGACAGGTGGACCACCAGATGTGTTGATACTCTTATCAATTCTTCCACCCATTGACGTAAAGCAAAACATGTTGTTGTACGTCTTAATGTTGTTAAGGAAATGCTTTGATTTCGCAGTATTTGCAAAGAACAAATCATATATACCTTTTGGAGGCATTATCGAATTTGGGATTTTGATCTTCCCATTGTTGCAACATATAGAATATTTTGGAGTTCCTCGACTCACTGATTTATTTTGTCTTTCTTCCCACCAAAACAATGCCCCGCAGTGCTGGCAAATGTGATTAGCATTTCCAAAATCACAAAATTGGTCTGCATTAAGAATACATTATTAGAAGAGAAAATGAGTTTAAAAAAAGATTATACCATATTCTATTGGTGGGTCTTGTTGGGGCAAAACTTCCTCATCAAAAGCTGTAAGCAAATCTTTACTTAGAATACTTGATGCCGTCATATTACCACCGTGACTTTTACCATTGGATATTTTAGCAAAAGGTAGGCGGGGTGTTTGAGTTAAACCTACGTTACAATAAGTGCAAATCGATTAGCAGTTAATAATTTAGTAATAAAAGTTAATAACAAACTAAACTATATGTGTATTTAAAAAATGTACCAGTTAATTGTGAAACTGTTTCAGTTGTGCTAAACTCACACAAACCGCCAAGTATAAACTTCCTGGAACGATTTGAATATGTTTGTTGTTCGTGGTTACGGTTACTCAAATGTATACTAACATTATCTTCAAAAGCTAAACGGGTAAAACATTGCAAAAATTAGAATATAGGTAACTGTACCTTACTCAAGTAACAATATACCGAATAACACACACACACACACACACACACACACACACACACACACACACACACACACATATATATATATATATATATATATATATATATATATATATATATATATATATATATTAAAATAAATATATATTTATTATTTCCTATATCAACATTTTGTATGTAGCACTTACCGTTAGTTACAGTACTGATTGGTGTATTTATTGAGGTAGAATCAACTCCTAAGGATTGTCTTCTGTATTTGGTAGTCTGACCTTCGAGTGAATGTTCACTTGGACCATTTGTGATTGCATAATCCACCAAATTTTCTGCATTTAATATGGACATAACATGTTTATTTAAATATAAAATTTTCATAAAAAATTAGTTTGATTAGTCCACCAAATTGTTTTGCAATTTATTTAATGTATGACTAAGTTTTCTGTTAACAGTGGACTGTTTTTTTTTTTTTTTTTTTTTTTTTTTTTTAATTTGTCTTAATTAAGAGAATCATGTTAAAATATTTAACCTTATTGCATCTATATGTGTTTTTTAAATTGTACTTAATCAATTTACTTTCCAAATCTTTTTTTTTTTTTTGACAAAAATTGAAATTTTTGAGTGTTTTCTTCTAAGGGTGCGTTTGGAAACCCGAAAAATGACTTCTGGAAAATGTTTTTCGGGTTTCTAGTGTTTGGCAAGAGGGCGGAAAATGAGGTCAATGGAAAATGATGTTGTAGTCAATGGAAAAAAGTATGTTTTTGGGGAAAATGACTTCCCCTTATTTTTTTTGGGGAAGTCATATATATATATATATATATATATATATATATATATATATATATATATATATATATATATATATATATACACGCTATGTATTTAATGAGTGCTATTTAAAAAAAGATTTTATCAAAAATATCAAAATAATTAAAATGTTAAAGTATACGATTCTTACCATTTTTCTATTCATTTTCTGGAAAATGAACCAAACACTCAAAAACAATTTTTCGTTGTGTAGCCAAACATCAAAAATTAAAATATTTTCTGGAAAATGACTCATTTTCCGGAAAACATTTTCCAGAAGTCATTTTCCTACTTTCCAAACGGAGCCTAAGTCCTAATATTTGTTAGAACACTGTTTATAAAGACTCCAATTGCTTTATAAATCTTTTGACCTTACCTGTCATACTTTTCTGCATTTATTATGCAATTTCTTTGTTAATTGTCATATTCAAATAATAGAGGATTTGGTTTTTTTAAAGTGATTTTAGAATCTCTGTTAATTAGTTTGAGCCTTTATTTTTTTTTTATCAGTTCTATATATTAAAATAAAAGCATAGAATAATGTGAGAATGGTTATACTGGTATCACATCTTAATTATAATAAAGCGGTATGATCGGGTGAAAAGAGAAGGAAAAATAAATGGGTTGCATTTATTTTCGTCTAAGCATTGGTTCTGTCAATGCTATTAAATTATCGTCCAAAATTAATTTTAAAAATGATAGTATTGAGATATTTTACGCCGCTTATGTGAAAGGGAAGAGTATTAATTGCAGCCCCATATTAATTGCCACAACACTTTTGTTTAATCTAGGGCTGCTGTTTAAAAATTCGAATCGAATCGATCGTATTGATTCAAAACACCCTTTAATATTCTAGGAATTAATGTACGTAAAGAACTCTTACACCATCTATCAAGTAATGCCTATATAATATAGAGCTAATTAGCGAAAACAAACAATAGCAAATACAGAAATTTCTTTGATTCCTTTGAAGTTCAGAATTCTCTTCCAGATTGGGTTTGTACGTTCTTGCTCGTGATTTGTCAACCTTCAAAAATAAGAGCTGGAAAGGAAAGGTTCCTCTAATAGTCATCTTCTATGAGGAAGAGGTACATGTCATTCCCTACATTATTTTGCATAAATATTGTTTTTAATGGTCAGTATATACAAAAATTGATAATGTAGGATATGTAAAGTGCTTATCAATATGGCACTATTATACATGCTCCTTCTTTGGTTTAACTTTTAGAGAAATAATAAGCCTCCATCAGAGATCATGACATTGGTTGGGATGTCTATGCTATTCAGAATTGCAGCAAGGAAGGAGCAGAATACAGAATGACCAGAACTTGGTGGCTCAACATTGCCCATAACTCCTAAATGCCCAGGACAAGCACTTGACTTCTGAAGTGTAGCCAAGTGAGGGAGATGATGACTTTGATGAGGTAAAAATTTTAGCAACCAACATTTTTGTGTGATAAAATCATGGTTTTAATGAAAAATCAATATGTAGTTACATGGGTGGTTTTCAATTTAGGGTTTTCTAAGTGTGAAGCTGACAGTCTAATAACTACTCCTAAATTGACCAAATCTTTAGGGGTACGTTACTGATAGACATGTGAAGAGGTTCTTGCGTAGGAGTCCAAGAAAGTGAAAGAGACTGGATCGAAAATAGGAAAACTATATTAGTATAGATTGTGAAAAGAAAAATGATTTTGGCACCTCTTCTCCTATTTAAACTCTAAAAACTTTGTATGTTATATTGGCACTTCGATCATGAGCTTTTAGTGGCATGATTAACTTTGGGTATTCCTTAAAAAACAAGACCAAAACAATGAATTGAAGAAATCAAGCTGGACAAATTTAAGGATTTCTTATATATTAACTTTTGTATTTTTTTTTCGGGATTAACTTCAGTTCTTTTTTTAAGATGAAGCTTAAGGTCCTATTGGATTAATAGGTTCTTTTAAGGATGTGGAAGAAATTGTTACTACAGTTGTCACCCGTTGTCTTTTAGATGTGCTTTCCTCATCTAAGAAGTCTTCTAAGAAAGTGAATAATCTGCTTTTTAATGTTCATTCTCTATTTTTTTTTTCCTATTTATTGATTACATCGATTGCAGTTAATGATTATTTGTCAATCACCCTAGCCGCAGTCAATTGTTAGCAGCTTCAAATGTTAAAAGGTTTGTTAAATTGTCTAATAACTGGAGTTTTTTCAAAGTATTAACTATTATCTTTTAAATTGATTTTTTTACAAGTTCAAGGAATAGGGATGGTCTGGAAAGCTGATTCTCATTCTGGAAATTAAACATAGGTTATGAAGGTTCAGAGCATCTTTGCATAAAGATGCTATGCAGAGATGGTCTGGAAAGCTAATTCTCATTATGGAAAACTATATCTTTGCATAGCATCTTTAGAATCGGTAATTCTATTCTATTTTCAATACACTGTAATTTCTAAGTTGTATGTAAGTTTTAACTACTTCAATTTTAGCATCTTTAGAATATGTAATTCTATTCTATTTTTTGGCGAATATAAACAAGCAAGCAAAGAACATGCAAACAAATGCAAAAAACCAGCAATCAAACATATAGCTCAATTAGAAACATCAATTTAGACATAAAAAATAAAATAATTATCCTAAATTACAACTAACATACATTAGAGGTCAACAAAAAATATCTCACATATATACTATATTTAAAAAAAGTCAGAATTAAAAAAAAAAAAAAGAAAAAAAGAATACCAACCTTCCAATAAATATTTAAGGGCCATTGCCATACTATTGCATTTCCACCCGTCCAGATTAGAGTATGTCCAGAGTTATGATTCCTGTAATAAATAAAGTTAATTATAATAATTTGACATCCAATCAAACACATGGAAATCTAATGACTTACAAACTACTAATATTGTTGATTTTATGACTTTTGGGCAGTCAACGGCAGGCCAACACTACCGTTTGATTAACAAGAATATAGGAAAATATAGGAGAAATATATGGCGGAAATATAGGAATGTTGTATTGATGAGTATTGCTCGTGAATTGCTGAGAGAGTTGTCCCCCTCTCCTCTGTGCGAGAGGTCTATTTATACATATTTTGGGCCTAGAGCCCTACAAGGAATAAGAATTCTAGACCGCCTCATATTGGGAGTCTTAATTACATAATAAAACCTAGTTCTATTATACTAGAAATAATGAGTCCAATTATAATTATATTAGGAATAATCAGCCCCATCCTTAACAAATTCTTGGGTTGCTTTGTGTCGTGTCTTTCTTGGGCTTCCTTGATCCAGTTGATTTCTTGGGCCGGTCCGTGTGGGTCCAGGCCTAGTATGCTATCCATCAAAACTCACCTCTAATGTTATAATTTACATTATTCATTAATTTTGCAATTTAGAAACAGTGTGATCCAATTCCATCTTTATTACCTATTAAATAAATTAGATTACAAAATATAAATACAGAATGGAATTAGTCATCTGATTAGAAAATCTGAAGAAATTAAAAATCAAGAAATTAAAAAACGGTTCAATATTGATCCTAAATTCTTATCGGAAATCACAAAATAAAAAAT